TCCAGGCTCTGAACTGTCAGCACAGAGCCCTATGCAGGGCTTGAACCCACAAACTGCGAGATCATGACCTGAGCCGAAGTTGGACACTTAACCAACTGAGCCACCCAGGTGCCCCTAGCTTTGATAGGTTTATATGATATTCCTGGTGTGATGTTCTATCAGTGAAAATGTTGCCCATAATCAAGTGTATCAGGTTCATTGACCTATATTGGGAAGTTCATTCAAACATATATACCAGGTATCATTGTAAGGCACAAGATGTTCAAAGATGGTACACATCATGGCCTTTACCTCAAGAATTTCAGAATCTTAGATTCTGGAGGGAAAGCTCCCCCACCCCCTTATTTATAATGTTACTATGGGGCGCCTGGGTGGCGCAGTCGGTTAAGCGTCCGACTTCAGCCAGGTCACGATCTCGCGGTCCGTGAGTTCGAGCCCCGCGTCAGGCTCTGGGCTGATGGCTCAGAGCCTGGAGCCTGTTTCCGATTCTGTGTCTCCCTCTCTCTCTGCCCCTCCCCCGTTCATGCTCTGTCTCTCTCTGTCCCAGAAATAAATAAACGTTGAAAAAAAAAAAATTAAAAAAAAAAAATATAATGTTACTATGTTTGACATTTTTCTGGCCTACCCACGTCTGACAAAGGAGAAGTAATTTTCGTACTAATTCAGGTACACAAGTTAACTTTATCCTGAAAGGCTCAGCTAGCACCTGTTTTTCTTTTGCAAGTGAGCAATATGGAAACTCAGCGTTTGGTGGCTTATAGCAGTGATTCCACTGGGACCAGAAATAATTATGCACAGTTTTCTGGACAGGTGTGGATCAGAAGTTGCCACAGATGGGAAGAGGAAGCTTAGGTTCTAGAAATAGGAAGCACTTACAAAAGGATGTGAAAAGCCTGTTCTGAAAGCAAGATTACCTACAATGACAACTGTTAATGGTGACAAGGAGAAGGGCAGGAGTGTGGGACAGAGAGAGCAGAGCTGACGTGATAGAATACCAGATTGTGAGAGTTGTAAAGTAGTATGATGGGGTTTTTCAACAGGCCATGTAAAATCTCCCTATCTAGAGAGTCTAGAGATCTAAAAAACACAGTCTCTTCTTCCTGAAGTAGTTTAGATGTGGTCACCTAAAGGTAGGGAGGTCACTTTTTTTTTTTTTTTTTTTTTTTTTTTTTTTTTTATAGTCTGGAGGGATTTCCAAGGTCTCTGGTTCTATGGGTGGATCTGATTGAACATACAGATGACTGGAAAGGGACTGTAGGTACAGCATCTATGACTTTTTTCTTGGTTGTTAACATTAAATAATATAAAAGAACGATTTAAAAGGCAGATAAATCCCACGTAAATTAACTATTTTCATGTTTCTGCGTTACCTTCTGAGTTCTCACTCAGTACACCCATATTTGTCATGTGGTTGTGATGATACTGTTGATCTAAGAGTGGGGCATGGGATTTTGTAGGACCTCAGGTGTAGAGCGCTGAGCTAATCACACTTCTTAGTTGGTAACATGTCATCACTGGTCAGAGCTGGGCTCCTTGTTATTTATTCATTAATTTCCTTATATCCTCATTCCTCACTCCCATTTCTCTTCCCACTGCATACCATTCTCCTGCATTCAGTGAGTAGGCTTTTATTTGGATGTGGCCTTGAAAAATGTATAGTTGCTCTGTGTGCATCTATTTTAAATTTACCTAATGGTGTTGTTCTGTACATCCCATTCTTTTTCTCTTGACGTAAACATGCTGCAGTGTATAGCTCAGGCTTGTTATTTCTCATTACTGCCTAGAATCCCAGAGCATATCTCCTACATTTTACTTACCCTCCAGCTTTCCCCTGCCACAGATGATGCGGTTATGTACATCCTCAAGCCAAGTGACTTTATGATATATATAAAGTATGTACCTCCTGGGAGAGGAGGCCTGTCGGCTAGATTGCTGAGTCATATGGGCTATATATATTTAATTTGCTGGAATGGCTATACCACTTTACATTCCTTCTAACAGTTCACATCTCTGCCAACACTAGAATTTTCCAGCTTTCTGATTTTTGCCATGCTAATAGATGTAAAATGTTGCTTTGTCTTAATTTGCATTTTTCAGATCACATGCAAATTAGAGCATCTTTTCACAGTTAATTCAATTTTATATTTTTCGTCATTTAAGTTTTTATTCACTGCAGTATGGCTGTCTGTGTTTTCAGTATCGGGGTTGATTATATTAAGATGCATTTAAATGAGAATTAATTTGAATCATAATGCAGCTGCTAGATTTCTGGGCTGACCAGTTCTGGCCTGTAAAAACAGCAAAGTCTATGGCCCAACTTATAATATGTTCTCCGGCATTTTGGTCATCCCAAGTTTTCAGTATTATCACTAATATCACACTAACCATATGCTATGATATATGGCAGTTTTCTTCTTTTGAATTTTGCCTTAGGATGAATCCCCTAGGGAAGGATTACGGAACCAAAGAATGAACATTTTTATGACTATTGTTACATATTAACAAATCACTTTCTAAAAGGGCTGGGAACCCTTGCGCACTGTTGGTGGGAATGTAAATTGGTGCAACCATTATGGAAAACAATATGGAGGTTTCTCAAAAAATTAAAAATAGAAATACCACACGATATGGTAATTCCACTTCTGAGTATTTACTGAAAGAAATGAAAACACTAAATTGAAAAGATATATTGACTGTTTACAGTAGCCAGGATATAGAAGCAACCTTAGTGTCTATTGATAGATGAATGGGTAAAGAAGATGTGGTATATACATATACATACATATATATATATATATAT